ACTCGGAACTGAAATCTCCCCAGGTCCCAAACCCATGACACCATCAGGAGCAGCTCCTTCCAAATAGCCACCACTTTGCTTCCTACCACAGCTGCATTGTTCACAAAACAGAGAAAAGAAACATCAAATATTAGTAACAACAGCATGATTTATGATATTCCTGCGTATCAGATCCCCAACTCCCAAGATTTACAAGCAGAGCAGCAAAAGGAAAACACACCCAAAAACAACCGAAGCCTGCACAGAACTTGGTGTTGAATTTTTGCTGGCTGATGTCAAATGCAAAACATCCTCAATCAGAAACCCAGAACTTGCAGTGTCATCTGACTTGTACTGAACAATGTACGGGCAAGGCTCCTCTGGACCTTTACAATTGGTGGTCGACTTGCATAACTGGTGACTGCAACTTAGTTGTTTGCCGGTCCTTGATAAAGACGGGCTATACTCATTTAGGTCCCTATCCTGCACCATAGATGCTCCGAAAATGAGGGAGCACCTGCCAATCAATCATTGGAATTAACTGCTAAACCCGTTACCATTCCTAGATGTAATGTCTACAATTTCATTCCACAATATTTTAGCTATTACATTGCTTCCTATAATCCCATTTCTATCTTTTCTGTCTTTCTGTGATATGGGATTTCCATAACAATTTAATTATACAGGTTCAAATCAAAATCTATGAATTTGGGGTAGCTAAGCAGTCAAAACGCTACTAGAAGTCTAGATTTTAGCTATTCCATTGTTTCTTACCAGACTTAAACAGAGAAGAAGAAACCAGCTATTTCATAGACCAAATAATAATCAAGAAGAACGATACAGTTAATTGGTGGAATTTAATAAAGATATCAAAATTGAAAATGCCAAGTAGGAAATTAGAACGTAATTAGTGGACAAAAAATAGATACAGTTATAATGGGACCCAAAAAATTAGAGAAGGTAAAGGTACCAAAGTATCATAATAGGAGGCAGACAAAGGAGCACATTGTATGCAATCACATGGGACCCAAAGCAAATCGCTCCCAGCATCCAATGCAACCATAAACGAAACATTCGGTGTACCTATGTCAATCCACGTATAATGCAACCTGAAAAATAAAAAAAATAAAAAACGAAATTACCACAATCAGCGGCCGCCAAAAAAATTAATTAATTTTCAGGAAAAATACAATTTTATTTTGTTTCCTCCACTTTTTTTCTTTTCCTTTGTTTTCTGAGGAACCAAACAGGGTGAAGTCCACTCACCAATCAAGCTCATTCCCGAAGAACAAGGTCTGGCTTCCTTCAGAGGGAAATAGATGCTCGTACTTGGAGCCGAGCTTCAGTTTCTGCCGCTTCAGATCGCTTTGCAGAAGAAGCTGGAAGTAATTCAAGCTGTTCCTCTTCGGCCATGGCTTCAAGGACGCGTTATCGCCACTTCTCGACTCCCATACCGCCATGGCTTCCTCAGAGAAGCGGTGCACGAGCTTCGACGATAATGTGAGCGAAAGAGAACCGTTTATGAAGAGGCAAGCCCACAGAAGGAATAGAATGGCGCGAACCGCCATGAGATGCCGCAGCAGAAACCCTAGGATTTGAAATGTGGAAAGTAATTGGAGGAAGAAGAAGGAGATGGAAGAAAATTTGAGGCTTTCGGAGTTGGAGAGTACTGAACTACTCAGAGATGAAAGCAGAGAGGTTTGCTAAAGTGCGCGATGGTGCACAGTACGTAGCTTCAATAGTATTCCCGTGAATTCTTATTGAAAACGAAAAACACGTTTGCCGCTAGTGGGCTTTATCGTCTAGGCCCATTTAACTTGCGGCCCACGAAAAAGAAAACCTAAGTCAGTCACGTGAGTGGCACGTGCAAGACCATCTCTCAGCGGCATAAAATACTAAAACCCTAGCACCAAACGGGTCTTCCTCTCCTCTAGTTTTGGTTTTTCAGCCGCAGAGCGAGAGATCATTTCGAGGGCTAAAAGCGAAGAATCTCAGAAGCTTAAAAAATGGTGGTGCCGAAGAAGACGAAGAAGACCCATGAGAGCATCAACACCAGGCTCGCTCTGGTGATGAAGAGTGGCAAGTACACTCTGGGGTACAAGACAGTCATCGACTCTCTTCGTAACTCCAAAGGTACGATTTAATATCTTTTGGGATTTTCAAATCTTTCTTTTGTGTTCATTTTATTGTGATTTGGTTTATTTTTATTGGGTTAGTTTCTGATTTTTGAATATGGATTTGTTTTGTTTTGGGGGAAAAAATTTGCAGGGAAGTTGATTATAATTTCTAACAACTGCCCTCCTCTGCGAAAGTCTGAAATCGAATACTACGCTATGCTCGCCAAGGTTGGAGTTCACCACTACAATGGAAGTAAGTGCTCTTTGCCATATTATTTGGGTTTGCATCAGATTTGTTATGTACTTAGTATGAAAGTTTGAAATGCTTTTTAGATTTTACCTGTTTGTTTGTGCAATTGGAGGAGTTAGTTTTTGTATGTAGTAACATGATTGAAAAAAAAAATTAAAATTTTTGTTGTAATCTTGGATGGGAAGTGTTCAGCTGAAGTTTAATGGAAGCTTTGATTAAAATGGCTGCTGTTTAGGAAGTGCTAGTTAATGGGATATTTGTTGGCTCTTAGATGTGGGAACTTGTCTCAGCGTGTAGGTTAAACCATCGTGCAAGATTGCCTTAGTCTTAGTTCTTAATCATTTGCTAACATGCTTTGTATTGTTGATCCTGCTCTTTGCGTGATCTTGCCGGTTGGATTTTTCATATTAAATGATACTTCTATATTAGGATTCTCCATGTTCGGCACCTGCATGAAATTCCTTATTGTTCTTCCCTATTTTAAGCGGAAGAGGAATGTCATTTTCGCATCTTTTATTTAGGACTTATGTGTGGGAAAGGACGCTGATAAAATTTGTCGACAAAGGAAATATTTATCTTTACTATACTTGTACCTTTTCATTTGGTTGACCATTTTTTCTGTTTTCAGACAATGTTGATCTGGGTACAGCATGTGGAAAGTATTTCCGAGTTTCATGCCTTAGCATCATTGATGCAGGTACTCCATAGTTCTATTATCATTTCAAGCGATCTGTTTATGTCCTAATTGATACGAGAAACTGACTTGTCACTTGTTTTGATAATGTGCAGGTGATTCGGATATTATCAAGACGCTGCCTGGTGGTCAGTGAGCGACTGTAGTTTATCCCCTCTAAATCGAAAGTAGTATTGTTTTTCAAAGATTTTCCTCTCTTTTCACCACCAATGAAGTACTCTTTTTTATTCTATGACGATGCTGTCTTTGTTATCCTTGTAGTGACATGATGCATGGTGTTTTGAGAATCATTTAAAGTTAATTTTCGTTGTACTAGAGAATTCACATTTTGGGGGTTTCCTTCGGTTTTTTCGTATTATTATTCATCGTCTCCAAACCTTTAATTGAAATGGATGCGTATTGCTCAATCTCCTCCATTAAATTGTCATCACACATTCAGTATGAAACGCAAAACCCATGCAATGGATTTGGATTTACGGTAGGATTTTGTGTGTGATTCTATATGGTTATAATGAGGTGGCCTTTAATAGCCGTCTCATGAACTCAATGTTATTATCGTATGGCTAGATTGAACTCAATATTATTATCGCATGGCTAGATTGAACTCCTTAGGGCCTTTCCATCCATGAGCCTAGCCCAAGGCTAGGGGGGAAAAAAAAAAATTGTGTTCCAGCGGAGCAGCCCAGGCCCGGGGGGGTGTGGGACCCACCAACTCGGGCTGGCCCGAAGGCAGCTTCAGCCCGAGGTCCAAAACTCGGGCTGTTGATGTCAGCGCTACAGTACCCCCACTGATTTGATTTTTTCCCCCCTGTTGCCACGTGGCGTCATCTGGGCTCTCCGATCTGATTTTTTCCTCCAATCCAACGACAGCCAATTTTTTTGCAATAAAATACTGGAAAAAATTCGAAATTTTTTTTAAAAAATACCCAAAAATTTATGAATTTTTTTTCTATAAATACCAGCCAATTTTTTTTTTAATTTATTTGAAATTGAAAATTTTATCCGATTATGAGATATGAATAGTATTGACATGTAGGAACCCTAAAATCTAATCCTAAAATATTATCCAAATTAATTATTGAGGTAAAAAAAATTGTGAATAAAACAAAAAAATGAATAGTAACTGCCCTTAGCAAGGGCAACGGGTGGAAACACAAAATTTTGATTTGCAAGGGCAACCACTATTCACGTGAATAGTAGCTGCCCTAGCTCCCCCCTTGCCATGGCTAAGGGCAAATGGGTGGAGTTGCTCTTAACACGCCCTTCATTATAGATGCTCCCCTGACTTGTCGCAACAATGGCTGCCCTACACTTCACAGGCTAACGTTTGCCCTCAAAAGACAGAGTGCTCATGAGCCTTTTTGGGCTTAACTCTCCCTGACTTGTTTGTTGCCACAATGGCGGCCCTACACTTCACAGGCTAACTTATGCCCTCAAAAGGCACAATGCTCGTGAGCCTACTTGGGCTTAACTCTAAGCCTGTAACTTACCTACCCAGGTTGGTTTGGCCCTATTGATCCGACGGTGCAATTTTGGATTTTGCATATGAGTCTTGGTCAACTTTGTGGGTTGGCCGTTTGGGCCTTTGTTGTTTTGCATGAGTTGACTCGTTTTATGGCAATGAATCCTAACCCTTCATCTTTGTAATGACCGAAACCAACTTTGATCACTACCGAAACCATAATTCCACATTAAATTTCATTCTCGTCCAAGATGACACATTATAGACCAAAGACGACATTATAAAATTGTAAATGACAATTAAAACCATTGGATAAATTCATGTGCATAGTATAAATTATTTTAATTATTTTTAGAAAAATTAATTCTGGCTTTCCTTTTTTTCTTTTTTTTTGGTTCTGGATTTAATTTTATATCATTATCTAGGAGAATAACAACCATGCATGCCAATCTCCTCGATATTGTTTCAATTTTATCGAACATCTCAAAAAGACGTCAGCCATAAACAGCTTGCAAAATTCGTAGCGTGCCAATCAACATATACAAAACCTTTAATCCAAACACCATAAATGCCAATCGGTAGTATTTAACTAGAAATTTAATCCTTTACTATTTAAAAAAATGTAATTTAATCCTTGACATTGAAAAATAAAGGTCTAAATTAGCAGAACATTGAGGTCATCGTAATAATCTTTTATGTGTCATGTCATGTGTGCCCAAATGTGGCATTTGTCAGATGAGTTTTAGGAACCAACTATTTTAATTTATGGAAACTTTTGAAATGTTAAAGTTGTGAAGGAAGATACGAGCGTAGTTAATTTGGCTACAACAAATGTGCTTCTCACTTTGTATTCGAGTTCGAATCCTTCTTTTCATAATCTAGATTAGATTGAATTATATTATCGCTTGAAAACAAAAAATTGTGAAGATAATAACTTTTAAAGTTGATGAAAATAAAAGAATTATATCATTAAAAAAAAGCCATCTAAATTTGAGTGGGAAAAATAATAATATGCCGAGTCGTATTCGGTTATCACGGTAATCCCCAAAACGCTGCCTATTTTTAGAACACATCACACATCCTTCTCATTAGACACAGACGATAGACTAGGCTAACAAACAAACTCAAACAAACTAGCAAACAAACATTTAAACTAGGTGTAAAATAAATAATAATAAAACCCAAAAACGACGACACTTTATCTCCCAAATTTTATGAAGTCTTTGTATTAAGCCAAAAAACAATACAATCTCTTTTGGTGACGGTGCCTCTATCTCTCTCCCCTGATCATTATGAGTAGTGTGCTTCGTACCCTCTTCTTCTCCACCTTGTATATCATCCCTTTTGTGACAACAAAACCACTGATCATCATCATCTCCACCTTTATTCCCTTTCCTCCTGTAAGTTTCAAGTGTTTGTTTCGTTGAATGAAATTAACGATTCGTGTTTGTTCTTATTTTCAATAAATTAAATGAGATCGAACTCTTGACCTATCCTAATTCTGAAAACTTTTGTTATTTTCTTTTAGAGGTTTTATGCTTTATTCTTTAGTGGTTGGGCTTTGTTTGTCAAATCATTGAATAGTTGCTCACTAATTCATTTCTTTGTAATTGTAATCTTTTGAATATTAATTTCCTTTCTGGGTTATTCTTTCTTCTCTCACATTGCCTGAATTCAGTGTTTTTTTTGGGGATTTAGTTTCTCCTTTTTCTCTTTTAATAAAGATCACAACTCAATGCTTAAAGATCACATTATTTTTAATATTATTACCATCTCTTTCAGCTTAGCACTACCAAAAGAAAAAAAAAACACACACACAATTGACAAGATTCATGACTCCCATGAGTCTTAATCTCCGTCTTAAATTCGGGGTCTGACATTAGCATGATATTTAATTAATTTATTTGTTTAATGATTTTGTTTAGTTATTATATGCAAATTATGATTGAAGCAAAGGATGAAATTAAGAAACAGAAAAATAGGGTTGAAATTCTGGTTTCCAGGTTTGCATGCTGATACGTTTCCTTTTGTACTTCTCCAAATTTTGCCTTTTTTTTCTTCTTCTTGTTTTTATTTACATATTATCATATTCTTCTCGTCGGATAGCAAACAGTAATGCATTTGGACCGTTGATCATGATGATATTAAGTAATCCCATCATCTCAACGGTGTACAGCATTCAATTTTTGTGGGGTCCCCATACAAGCAACAGTATGGATACATATACACATATATAAATGCATGACATGAAAACAACACGTGGTGCCATCTACCAACCCACGTGTAAGCCTAAAGCCAGGGTTTATATTGTGAGATCCTAAATTATTGACATAAATTTTAATGTGTGGTGTAAATTGACAATCTGATATGTCATGTACGAATGTTTAAATAATGTGAATTATAATCTATAATAGCGAAATTTAAATATGTAATTCAAATTCACAGTCAATATTATTTTCACAGCCAATTAATTTGTTGTTATCATTCTAGGGTTTTTTTTTTTTTTTTTTCTTATTTGAGCTATTAGCAATATATACCAAATATTCATAGGCCTAACACATTTTGATTTGGTTTCTTGTTTTGAAATTTTCCAGGCAAGTCACAGTGCTGTACAGCAATATTTACCAGGTTTCTGCCTCCTGAATTAACCCAAATATATTGACATCACAAGTCTTAGCTGGCTCTGCTCATCTTTCTCTCCACCCAACACACTCAACTCTGTGATTTCCAAACCTTCATTGAGACACACCAAGCCACAGACAGGCCACTGTCACACTATGCAGCTATATAACTCTATGCATCTCCCCAGTGAGCCTCACCCATGCCAAGTTCAAGCCCCTCTAGAATTTGGTCTCAAGGCCTTAAATCTTGACCCCCAAAAAAACACTCCTCACAAAAACTGCTCCATGATGCTGTCTGATCTTCTCTCTCCAACTTCTTCATCTCTCTTGTCTGGAGACTATATTGGAATGGAGAGCTCTGTGGATGTGCAGAAAGACTGTGAGGAGGACCAGGTGGTGCAAAATGATGATGAGGAGGAGGAGGAGGGTCAAGGTGGTAATTTCAGGCAGAGGCTGATGGGTAGGAGGGAGCAAAAATGGGCAATGAGGAACAAGGAGTTTCCTCCTCCTATACCTTTGTTGGCTCGCACTGAGAACTTGCCTTCTCATATGCCTTGGGTGTTGAAAAGGCATTATACAAGTGATGGGAGGTTGATTTTGACTGAGGAGAAGGTTAGGCACCATGAGTACTTCAGGGCTCATAGGTCTAATGGCAGGCTCACTTTGCAGCTTGTGCCTTTGGATGATGAAGTTTTGATTGCCCCAGTTGCTTGTGATGAGGGAAATAAAGATGGGAATGGGAATGATAATGAGTATGATGATCAGGACCCACAATGTGATGATCATGGTGATGATGATGATGAAGAAAATGATGAGGATATTGATGGTGATGATGATGATGATCATGTGGTTGAAGATCAATCAATAAGTGGGAATATTGGCGGATCAGCAGCAGGGAAGTGCTTCAATTTCAACAGTGTGGGAACAGGATCACCTTGCATCTTTGGAGTGCCAGTGCCGGCCATCAGGCAGGTTCACAGTTAAAATTTGTTTGATGGAGAATGCCACACAAAATTTATGTCAAATTCCACTCCATCACTTGAAAATTTTATTTTGTAGGTCATGTGGCTCATCTGTCCATGCTTCTTCTTGTTCTTCTTCTATGTTGTTAGGTTTGTTAGTTGTGTCCCTTCAAATTCCATGTGGGCTATTCATGAGGATTCAGATTTCTTTTGTATAGGTTTTGCAGCACTGTGGAGGAAATTTTATTTTATTTTTTTCATTTCTTCAAATTGGTCTATTAGCAATTCTTGTCTGGAGATTGTGATGAGGATTTTTTTCATTCATGTTTCATTGCTGTTGGATTGGGATTGGGTAAGTTTTCCATTGTCCATAAAACCAGATGGGTGTTGCAAATCGATATTTGATTCTTTTATGGAGGCCTCATACATCATACTAGCATAGCATTACCCTTTTCACTATATATTATACATCAATGCTTTCAAACTGAATAGGAATGACCTGATACGGTTGCCCTTGCAAATGATTTTTAGCTTGTCTATGGCATGGGTTACTTCAGCGCCGTGGCGCCTGGTACTCGAACATTGGCTCGAGGCATTTTCTCTACCCCTTCTTACCATGCGAAGATTGGTTATTGGGGGTCTCTAGAAAGTCCGTTTTATGAAATTTCTGAGAGATCAAAAAAGGTAAGGATGCTTTATTTGGGAAGGAGAAATCGCAATTGTTCTTAGCACAATCAAATTGGCTAGAATGCATCAGTTTTCTATTTGACTTAAAAATCAGCTCTTTTTGGACAATACATTGTTTCACAATTTTTTTTTCTTTTTTGAAAATCTCATTCTTATATTCATATTTTAAGCATTTTAAGATAAAGAACTTATTTGTAATAGGTTAATGTATCAGTTACGTCTCATGCGATGTGTATTATACCTAGCAAATACATGATTTCGGTGTATGGAAGTTTTTATGAGAATAAATAATTCTCATTTCAATGTTTAAAAATGCTAAGAATGGTATTCAAGAACTATATAATTTTAATTATATTCTAAAGTTTGGGTTCCTATATAGTAAGAGGAATCAAAATATATTCTTTCTCTTTTTTTTCATTTTTCCTTTACAGCTTTTCATTCTCATGTAAAAGGTGACACATTTCAAAACTGTAAACTGCCCACACACCAAATACGAGAATAGATTCTCATACCCATTTTCCAACTTTCATTTTCAAAAACCCAAACACTAATGTAAAGGATGACAGCTCAAGGTCAACAACTAGAGATGCCCTTATTTAATTAGGGTTTGGCTCTTTTGAGATTACAGGCTTCGTCTCATCAATTAGCGGCTTCTTCTTCTTTGACATCACATGCATTCAGAAGGTTAACGCTTACTCGAAAAATATCCAGGTGGTGGGGGTGCAATATATATATATATCTGCACTGCACTGGACTGCAGTGTATAACAAGGTGACATGGTTCAATTTACGAGAAGGGCGCATTCATATTCATAATTTTTGGATATTTGATATGATGTTATTGGGGAAGCCAAATGATTGAATGCAACGGATAATCACAATCAGAATACGGTTGTAGAGTGAAGTGAGTACAGCTACCTCCCAATATGACAATTCACAACTATAAGTATTGAAAAATTGTCAGACATCATCATTGGCCTGTCCTTCATGGCTTGCATTTCCCCACATACTGCATTATTTACAACTCACACTAATTTCTGCCACCCTGCTGCTGCGTTTATCAATGTCTCTATTCATAAGCTATGCCTATGGTTGGCTGTCACCCTCATTGAGATAGTAATATTAACAAGATAGTTCTATGATGTCGTAGTATTAACAAGATAGTTCTATGATATAGTATTAACAATGTACTTTTATGAAGAGTCTCTGCTTGGTTTTCATAAATTTTTTATTTATAAATAAATTGTTCGGGTTTTTTTTTATAAAAAAAATCTGGGCTGGGCTTGTTTTGGGTTTTTTTGGTTGAGTTTTTTTGTGTTGGCTAACCAGTGGCAATCATGTAATTTATAGGAACTTCAATACCTATTTCTTATGTAGTAAATTGGTTTTGGGTGTGTTTCTAAAGTGCATGCCATGTGGGTTTAAAAATAAAATAAAAAATTCAGCCCCTATTTTGGGTATAATAGTGAAGCTCCCTTTAATTTTTACAATTTAATTGTTTATTATTGATTTTGGGACGGTTTGTACAGAGTACATAAAATTACACAACAAAACCCTTGTTTTATTTAATTTTGTTTTTCCTCACAAGGATAAACAAACTGTAAGGAAAATTTTCCAATAAGTATTTTAAGGATAAACAAACTGTAAAACATCCTAGATAAAGTCATACCATAGCGCACACGTGCATGAAATAAATTACATGAAGGAAACATCTATGGAGAATCTTTCTAAACAGAAGACACATGAAAAGTGAAATGTGCATAAGAAAGAAGCACATTATGATCAGGTAGCCAACAGATCAAGAGCAAGCAATTCACCACATGTCATCATATGTATTGGCTTCGACAAATGCAACATCTAAGTTGAGAGGAAATGAGAAACTTGTTTTATTGTTGGACGAGATTTTGGGCTAGAATTCAAGCATGAAAATGCTATCTTCACAAGAGAGATCACTTCACTTGCAACTTGATGCGTAGGAGGGGAAATGCGTTGGTCCAAAACATCCACAATTGGTATTTGATGGGCTGGTAATGCAGATGATGAGGAGGAGGAGGAGGATGAAAAGACCGATGAGAAAGATGAGAAAAGATCTCCAGGATGCTTTCCCATAATTATTTCCAATGTGACCACACCAAAGCTATAAACATCGCAGCTCTCATTCACTTCCATTGTGTAAGCAAGCTCTGCTCAGAGAAAACCTCAGAGAAGTGGCATTATTAGTTTATAGACATAACTATTCAATGGAATTTTAACAAAACTATATCATGCATAAATCGACTTATTAGTTTATAGCTTAAGAGAAGTGAAAATGTGTTTATTAGTATATTTTCTAAATCAAAGCAGTGAAAATGTGTTTATGTTAACTGCTCCTAATGATGAAAATGAAGCATTGGTCTAAAGGCAAAAGCATAAAAAGTGATAAATACAGAGAACATGGAATCACAATATTACCTGGTGCCATGTAGCCATATGTGCCTGCAGCGGCAGTCCAATTAGTTGAAGTTGGATTTAAAAACCTAGCAGTGCCAAAGTCTGAAATACAGGCCTCATATTCAGAATCCAACAAAATATTCTTGCTTGAGATGTCACGATGTACAATCGGTGGCAAGCAATCGTGGTGCATGTAAGACAAGGCATGAGCTAAGCCTTTAACAATATTCACCCTTTTACTCCACCCTAACTCTTTAGCTTTTTCATCTTTGCTCAACATTGTGGCCAAGCTACCTCTTTCAAGATACTCATACACCAAAAATGAGTGTCGTTTATGTGCGCAGAAACCATAGAGCTTCACAATATTCCGATGTCTTATCTCAGTGAGTGCCCTGACTTCATTCAAGAACTCCTTCGGAAATTCTGTCTCGTCATCCCATGGCAGATGGAGTTTCTTCACGGCCATTATGTCTCCAGATGACAAATTCACTCTGTAGACGCTTCCATGTCCTCCCTTCCCAATGCAATATGTGGAATCAAAATCTTCGGTTGCCCTTATAATTTCCTCATACATTGATTTTCCATCAAAATTTAAAACCGAAAATGAAATTTCTCCATGCATGTGGTTTTGTTTAGTATCTTGATGCTTTTTCTTTCTTTGCACTATTACAAAGACAATTGTAAAGAGAGCAAATAGAAGTACAAATACTACTAGAACAGAGAATATGACCTTGTGGTCATTTTTTGACCCATGTGCATTGCAGGGTGGCAGCAGAGCTCCAACTTTGCCACACAATCCTTTGTTCCCTTTTAATCTTTCTGCCGGAGCTTCTCGAAATGCACTGATGTTAGGAAGGGGACCTTCGAAGTGATTGTAGGATATGTCAACATACGACAAGCCATGCATATCTTTGAAACTTGATGGTATGGAACCCGAAAGATTGTTGTGAGAAAGATCAAGTGTTACCAAACTCTGCATACTGCCCATTTCTGATGGTATCTTACCTTCAAGTGAGTTATGACTTAAATCCAGGTCATTCAATTGAAATAACTTCCCCAACTTAAATGGAATTGCTTGAGATAACTTGTTGTTGCTCAAATTTAGATGGTATAATTTGAGCAAGTCACCTAGAATGCTGGGAATTGAGTCACTGAATTTATTTGTTGACAAGTCAAGATATTCAAGATCATTCAATGATCCGAATTCCAACGGTATATGACCTGAAAGTTGATTTCCATTCAACATTAAATTCACCAACGAAGACAACTTCCCGAATTCTTTTGGGATCAACCCAACTAAATGATTTGAAGAAAGGTCCAACACCTGAATTTGGACTGCGTTGCCAATCTCAGGTGGGATGAGACCACTTAAATTGTTGTAGGACAACTCTAGCTCTAAAAGAGATTTCAAGTTCCCTATCTCCTTGGGAATCAAACCAGAAAGTTGATTGGAATCCAAGTGCAAATTGTTTAGCTTTATTAAGTTACCAGTATTTGGAGGGATGAGACCACTTAAATTGTTGTAGCCCAAGTCTAGTTTTACAAGAGATTTGAAGTTCCCTATCTCATTGGGAATCGAACCAGAAAGTTGATTTGTATCCAAGTACAAAATCTTTAGCTTTATTAAGTTACCAATATTTGGATGGATGAAACCACTTAAATTGTTGTAGGTCAATGATAGATTTACAAGAGATTTCAAGTTCCATATCTCCTTGGGAATCAAACCAGAAAGTTGATTGCCATCCATGAACAAAGTCTTTAGCTTTATTAAGTTACCAATATTTGGAGGGATGCGACCACTTAAATTTTTGAAGGACAACTCGAGATCTACAAGAGATTTCAAGTTCCCTATCTCCTTGGGAATCAAACCAGAAAGTTGATTGGAATACAAGTACAAAGTGTTTAGGTTTATTAAGTTACCAATATTTGGAGGGATGTGACCACTTAAATTGTTGCCAGACAACTTTAGATCTACAAGAGATTTCAAGTTCCTTATCTCCTTGGGAATCAAACCAAAAAGTTGATTGGAATGCAAGTAGAAACTGTTTAGCTTTATTAAGTTACCAATATTTGGAGGGATGAGACCATTTAAAGTGTTGTAAGACAACCTTAGATATACAAGAGATTTCAGGTTGCCTATCTCTTTAGGAATTTCCCCCAAGAAAGTATTTACAGAGAGACGAAGAAACCTAAGATTTATTGGAAGACCGATTTCTGGTGGAATTCTCCCAGACAAGTTATTCTGAGAGAGATCAAGATGGTGGAGTTTGGAGAGGTAGCTGATTTGAGGTGGAATGGCATCAAAGAGTTTGTTCAAGCTGAGGTCAAGATATTCAAGATTAGGGAAGGACAAGAATGAAAACTCATGTAGCGTACCTTGAATACCACAAGTGGAAAGGTTTAGCTTGCTGACACTTCCAGCTGCGTTGCATGAAACACCAGTCCAAGTGCATAGGCTTGTTCTTGGTTTTGGGTTGCTGCTGGAAGAATTGGTGACATTAATATTATAAGTGGGAGGGTCATACCAGGTGAGGTTATTGAGGGCTTGATTTGGAAATAAGCTGGCTTTCCATTTGAGAAGAGCCTTTGCTTCAGTATCAGAAGTAGAAGTAGCAGAAGGAAAAGCAACCCAATTTGGTGATGAAACATACAAGAAGATGACAAGGCAATAAGGCATGAAGCATAATTTAGCGGAAGTTAAAGATGTCATGGTTGTTGTTTGTGTGGTATAAGTATATTGTATGGCAAATACGAGGTCATTCCCACGAGGATTGATTTCAACTACCAACTAGTCTAACCTAATTTACTTCACAAAATAGTTTAACTACTCTAAATATATAGACAAGAAATTAAACACGTAGCATACTCACGTAAACACGAAAGGGGTTTTTTGAAAGAATGATTTAATTGACAACGAAATTAAAAAAAAACAAAATAAGTAGAAAGTCACGAAACGCAAGATGAGAAATTCAAATTGATAAAAGCACTAGGACAATGAATTCACCACTAGTAATCCGATCTAGCCTCTTATTCACCTACCTATTAACTAACCATTTGATGTCGCCGCTTAGTTTTCCTTTTTCATGAATTACCTATGGTATTTAGGCTAACTCGTATATTCCTACATGCAATTCGCCTATGGTATTTAGGTCAAATATCAACACATAGAAACTCGTTAAGATCAGTGAACACCTCAAACAAGCATGTAAACCCTAGGAGTATGGTATATACCCTAGACGAACTACAAATCCTAATCACAAGAAGCAAGCCTCAAATTAAGTATGGTATTTACTCTAATTTGCATCCGATTAACTCAATTACAAGTCTAGATGGTGATCAAACATCAAGATAAGAAAGTTATTAAGCACAGTGATTAAGAATCCAACATCAAACGGCAATCAATAGATA